ATACAAGGAAGCTTAATCATCACTGTGGTGAGCTGTCCTGATACCACCCTGCCATGATAGCTTTCCACTCAACAAGTGCCCAAAGAAATTCATCCATTCTATGGTCAAAAGCATGCAATTATATTAGCAAATGTCTCTCCCTCTTCAAAGGCCATGTCTCCTTCCTGTTTTCCACAAGACATCTTATAATAGATATGCCACCACCAAGGAATACCTTACTGAGTGAACAAGTTAGGAAAAAGACGAGAAAATATTTTTCTCAGCCAAAGACCTTCAACCTCTTTTCTAATCATGATTAAGATGTTGACAGTCAAATTTCTCTCCAACGACCTTTCTTATAAAGCCCACATTACAACTGTTCATTCTAATTTAATTTCTTTAGGCTTAAAAACTCAAAGATCTAACTTTACAGAAAATTATAAAGTTGGGAGAAGTTTGGAATGGAGTATAGTTTGTTTTTCAAGTGCCAAATGAACATTTTGAAGTGCAGCACTTTTGGCCAAGGACTTTGTCCACTGACACCAAAACATTCCAGGAAATGACATGTCAAATAAACAGTTTCACATCTAGTAAACCACAACACACACACACACACACACACACACACACACACACACACACACACACACTATTCAACAGCACTTCATGGCAAAGAGCCTTCTGTTGCCAGTTACTCAGGGATGAATGATTATATTTACGAAGCACAAATATCTCATTAGATTAATTGAATATAATTTAAGTTGATGGCTCAGCAAGAGAGTGAATCTATGAGTTGTGAAAGAGGATGAAGGAGAAGATACCAGTAGAATAAATCTTGGAAAAGGATCTCCAAATATCTGGAAGTCCCGTGGTCCATCACTTCAAATTAGCCAGGCATGCGGGCCTGTGACACACATGCTGCCTGAGCCTCCTCCAAAGAAGAGTAGCCAAGATGAGTCTCATTTTTCTTGGAAAAAGATTTCCACATAGCTTTCATATCTTACCAGTTAAACAGTTTGGGCTCAATGTAATTAAGTAATAAATGTAACTGCGGGCCCATTTCTCAAGCCCCTGTTTCTTTTTCATGTGTTCAAGTGTTCGCGTGGGGCTGAACTCAGTTCTCACACTCTCATCCAGCTTTCTTTAAGCAGAGTTGAACTGCCACTTGTGTCCCACCTCCAACCCTGCCTTTTGTGTTGATTAATTGAAGACAGAATCTTGAAGACTTTTCTGCCAGGGCTGACTTTGAACTGTAATCCTGGAGGTTGCAGTCAGTCCTGAGTAGCTAGGATTACAGGTGTAAGTCACTGGCATTAGGCTCAAGCTTTTTTTTTCTGTTCTCTCTCTCTCTCTCTCTCTCTCTCTCTCTCTCTCTTTCTCTCTCTCTCTCCTTCTTTTTGTTAGGGTAGCTAGTAGGCTGGGGATAGATCAAACCCAGATCCTCATACTAATTATGTTTCCCCTCAGCCCCAAGGGGAAATCACTGATTTTCATCAATGCTCACAAAATACATGGAAATCTAGAAATCCAAAATCAGTTTTAAAATTCAAGAGTGAGACTCAGTAGGTACACTCACAGAGAGTGAAGTGCAGAGTAGATCCTGGTACAATCAACAGGAACAGAACATAGGGGCATAACATAGAGATAACAAGAGGAACTGAAGACTCAAGAAAATTTAGTATGCAAATGGGAAAAACTGGAGAGTCCTCTGGGTTTCCATCATGCAATAAGTAATAAAGAGAAAGACTATTTTAGGAAGTCAGCCTGAGATTCTTGTTATATAACTCACATGTTAACTTAGGAGGTAAAGTGTTCAACTAATGGGGAAGGCGGCAAAAACCTTCTTATATAAAATAGAATTGTTCCAGAATCATTCTCACTGAAATTTAAGTTACCATTTATTGAGAACTTGTTTGGTCAGGTTATATTCTAACCATATGGTATAAATAGTTGGTTTAATTTTCAAAGCAATCCAATGAGACAGAAACTACCATGGTCCTCATTTCATAGGTGAAAAAACAGGCTCAAAAAGTAATTTGCCCAAGCCAGGCGTCAGTGGCTCATGCCTGTAATCTTAGCTACTCAGGAGGCTGAGATCTGAGAATCTCGGTCCAAAGCCAACCTGGGCAGGAAAGTCCATGAGACTCTTATCTTCAATAATCCACCAGAAAACAGGAAGTAGTGCTGTGGCACAAGTGGTAGAGCCCTAGCCTTGAGCTGAAGAGCTGAGAGGCAGCTTCTAGGCCCAGAGTTCAAGCCCCACAACCACCAAAAACAAAAAAGTAATTTGTCCAAAGCCAAAGCCACACAACTAAAAAGTTTCAGAGCTGAAAGTTGAACCTAAAATCCTGTGTTTTTGTTTTGCTTTGTTTTATTTTATGTTTGTTTCGGTCCTGGGGCTTGATCTCAGAGCCTGAGAACTGTCACTGAGCTTTACCACCAAGGCATCCTTTCTACCACTTAAATCACAGCTGCACTTCTAGTTTTTCCATGATTAACTGGAGATAAGAGTCCTCATGGAATTTCCTGCCCAGGCTATCTTTGAACCATGATCCTCAGATCTCAGCCTTCTGAGTCGCTAGGATTACTGATGTGAGCCACTGGTTCATGGCAGCTTTGTTTTAAAGTCTAACTGAGACATATCATGCTGCAAATAATGCTTAGTCACAAGAGATGTAACTCTTTATTTCAGAGTTCTAATGATATGTGTACATAGGTTTTCAGAGATTTTTCAGAGATTTATGATTTAGATTGAAAGGACTGGTCACCAGCTATCAAAATGAGCTGAACTCCATGCGCTCTCAGAGCTGGAGACAAGGCACTCAGTTCACCTTTGCCTGGTGCCTGACATTTATCCATGCCATGGCGCTGAACCCAATTAACAGTGATTTAGGGTCTAATGCTGAGTGTCAGAGTATGGCGATTCAAAGCCTTGGATAAGATACAATTTTTTTCAACCCAGTGCAAAAAATATTCTGAAAACTTACAGTTGAATAGAAATGAAGAAAATGAAGTCTAAATAGTTCAATGACTTGCCTAAGGCAAGAATCCAACTCAAATGGGTGTAGTTTCTCTTTTTATTCTACCTCTCCACTTCTAATCAAGCTGGTTGCACACAATAAAGTGAATAATTTTCCAGACAAAATATCTGTGCTCCATAAAGAGGAAATGTTTGTCTTCTGCCTTCTTTATTCTAAAACCTGCTTTGTTCTGGAAGGACTCAAGGAAAAAAAGGAAGAGATCACAAGGGAACATATTTTTTAGGGAAGGGGAGGAATAAGGAATGTTGCTTTTGGCTTTGATTTTCTGGACAGTTCCACTCTTTAACCTTACATAGTGCTTAAAGACATCAAATCTATGTCCATATGGATTGTTATGCATGTAGGTATGTGTACATCTCCAACTCCAATCTGAGAGTTTGTATTTTGTTTTTAAGAAAGGGTTTTACTAACTTTGTCCAGGCCAGCTTCAAACTCAAAATCCTTCTGCTTCTAGGTCTTGAGTAGCTGTAGTTACAGATGTGTACCATCTGTACAGATGTGTACACCGCTAAGAGCCTTAGAACAGATGACGACTTTTACAAATCATTTGATAAAAAGCATAGTAGATACTCAGTGAATTTTTTATGTTATGTATGATAATGATGAAAATGCAAGTATGGGCAATGTGATTTGGGATTTGTTTGTTTTCCTTGAAAATTTGAGCTTGTATTCAGGTAACCTTTGCATTTTATTTATTTAGTTTTTTACTAATTTGGTTTAGTGTTTCTGAAACTGGGGTATTTGCCCTCCAACCTCCTCTAGACATCTGGCAAAGTCTAGAGGCATTTTAGTTATCAAAACTTAAGGGGCAAGGCAGGTGCCACTGTAACCTAGGGTAGAGGCCAGGGATGCGGTGAAATATTCTACTCTGCAGACCCCAAGACAGAGGATTATCTGATCCAAAATGTGAACAGGAACAAGGCTGAAAAACATTGGCCTAGTAAGAAGGTCAAAGGTATACAAACACCTTTCCATTTCTCCATTTAAAACCCCAAGTAAGCTATAAATGCCAACAGTACACCAAAGACTTGCCCTAAACAAGACCCTATCAGCAAGCTACTGTCAATAGACCCACACAGAGAGGAACCGAAGTAAAAGTGGTGGGAAAAGCATGAATTTAAACACTTGTGTATGTAAATACAAAATGGAATGGGCTGATGCCACATCTCAGCCTCTGTTGTGGTAGAGGGTACTCTGCTGACAAGGTACTTCTAAACCACGCTGGTCTGACTCAGACACGAAACTGGCAATTTAGACTATTTCACTATTTCTAACCACACACAAAATCCACCTTTTCAACCAGCACACAAAGAGGAAATGTGCATATGTTTGTTTATAAGTGTGGCCTATTTTCATTATTAGCCACTCCTTTTGACGCCTGTCTATCTTACCCACATGTAAGTTGCAATTTTTTTCAGCTTGCTTTTCAGGGCTCCAGGAGTCATCCCTTGACTCCTAAATTGCTCTCTGGTTGCTGTCATGGGATGATGGCTGCCTGTTTCCATTGTCCTGACAGCTTGATAATGTCTTAAGAGGAATAAGGAAAGGAAATTGGGCAACTGCTGATTTTTTCTTTTTGCTCTTGGTCATGATTTCCTACATGGTTGCTAGCTGATGTCATCACATTGCTTTGGTTTTATTTGCTGGTTCATTTTTCCCAGTGGATAATAATACTATTGAATACTATTGTAGCAAACTTAAATATAATTTTTTTTTCTTTGAGGCAATAAGTTTGTTCTTTTGGGGGAACCAACTCACTATATATCTATAACATCTATATATCTATATCTCTATAAAATGCACACTATATAACATAAAACTCACAATATATATAATATAATATACACCATATACACACATATCTCAGGAGGAGCTCTGAACACCTCACAGAAACTAATCTGCTATGGATTTTGTCTATTGAGCTAAACATGCCACTACTGAGATCCTCATACTTTGGTTAATGATTTTCTAAATATTTACCCAGATCTTTAATAAGTGAGAGTGCTTCCCATGATATGAAGGATCCACCACCATCATCCAAGGCGCCCTGCCCAACGTCCCAGCTGTCCAGATGGCCACTGACCAGCACAATCTGCAATAAATATAAACAGAAAAAAACTAAGCAACAGTGACATCAAAGAAGGTCCATCCACAGGAACTTTAAACACAAAAATGAAACTCTGTGTGTGTGTGTGTGTGTGTGTGTGTGTGTGTGTGTGTGTGTGTGTGTGTGTGTGAGTACTGGAGCCTGAACTCAGAGCCTGGGCATTATCTCTTAACTGTTGTTCCCCACTTAAGGCTGGCATACTACCACTTGAGCCACAGCTTCATTTCTGTGTTGGGTTCAAACCATGATCCTCAGATCTGAGTGGCTAGGATTACAGATGTGAGCCACATGTGCCCAGTCTGAATTTTCTATTTTTATTCCTTCGAAGCTAAGTGTCATTACTGGTGAAACACTTGGTGTAGTGACATTTCACGAAGAGTCAAAGGTCTTTCTAGTTAGTAATGAAAGTCCTCTCCTTTACTTCCCTTTATTAATCCAATTTTGAGTATTAAATTGATAGCTCTATTGTGTCACCTAAAACCACAATGATATAAAAATGGAGCTCAAAGCTTTTCATTGTACCCTCAACTGTTTCTAGTTCCAGGGCAAGCAAAAGCAGTATGTAGCCAATTGAACTCAAAGCTTGGTGCTGGTAGCTCATACCTATAATCCTAGCTAGTCAGAAGGTTGAGTTGTGAGGATTGAGAGTCAAAGTCATCCAGGCAGACAATTCCATCTGACTCTTGTCTCCAAATAACTAGCAAAAAAGTACAAGTGAAGGTGTGGCTCAAGTGATAGAATACTAGGCTTGAGCACACAAAGTTATGCAAGAGCAAGAGGCCCTGAGTTTAAGTCCCAGTACCAACACAGAAGAAGAAGAGGAGAGGAAGAGAAAGGAGGAAAAGGAGGAGGAAGAGAAGAAGAAGAATTAGACTTGTTAAAAGTTGGTAATATCGCTGGACACTGGGGCTCACGCCTATAATCCTAGCTACTCAGGAGGCTGAGATCTGAGGATCACAGTTCAAAGCCAGCCTGGCAGAAAAGTCCGTGAGACACTTATCTCCAATAAACCACTAGAAAACTGGAAGTGCTGCTGTGGCTAAAGTGGTAGAGCACTCGTCTTGAGCTGAAGAGTGCAGGGACAGCGCCCAAGCCCAGAGTTCAAGCTCCACAACCAAAAATAAATAAATAAAAAATAAATAAATAATTGGTAATATCTGTTTCTCAAAAGACCCTATTAAGAGAGTATAAAAGTTTTCCACAGGGAGAGAAAAATCCTTACCATCTCATATCTAATTGTATAAAGAATTCCTATGGAACAATAGCACAACTAGAAAACTGATAGAAAAATGGGCAAACAATAGGTAATTCACACCAAAAGACATGCAAATTACTAACAATCCTTCAAAAGGGCAGCCTGCTAAACTAAACTCCATGCAGGGCAGGGAGCAGGGAGCTTGGAATGAAGGGAATTAAACTCCATGCAGGGCACAGATGCCAAATAGCTAACATGAAAGACAAAAGATGTCAAATACCAGTGAGAAGCAGTAGCAAGTCATACTTTTACCCCGCTGGTTTGAATGCCAGAACATCCCATTGCTCTGGAAAACCATCGTTATCTATAAATGTTACCATATACATGCCCGTGACCCAGCAATCCTCCTGCAAGCAATATGGCATATCTGCAGGAACACATGTGAATGTGTATGTGTGTGTGTGTGTGTGTGTGTGTGTGTCTGTGTGTGTGTGTGTGTCTGTGTACTTTAACCAAAGGAGATGTACTAGAATGTTTGTAAGTATATATTTATAATAGCCTTACCCTTCCCCAAAAGGAAACTTGTATCACCTGTAAAACAGAAGAAAGAACATACTATATTCATGGATGAAAGCCCCCCCTGCAGTAAGAATGAACAAAAAATGCACAATAAGTTCAGTTAAATCTCATAGATACAATGAAGACGGAAAGAAGCCAGGTACATAATAACATATGGTGTACGATTCCATTTACATAAAATATAAAACCAGCAAAGTCCCATTGGGTTGGAGGAAAAGTGACCAGCAGGCAGTGGGTAGGAAGATAGTCCTGTCTGTCGCTCTGTTGTCTCCATGGTGGGTGATAATCAGACAGGTGAGCTTGGCTTGCAAAAGTTCATTTTAATGCACACTCAACCTCTGTGACCTTTCTCTGAGATGATTACACTTTGACAGTTCAACAACAGATAGATGGTCTACTTATGCCATGTAAGCAGCCCAAAGTCGAACCAATCTTCTTGGTGGTAAAAGATACAAATTCCCTATTGGGAGAGAGCAGAGCTTGTGGCCTGAAGTATCAGGGTGACCCTGGGCCCTGCCCTGGTTCCCAGAGCAGCTGCAGGATCTCTTGTTGACTTATATGCAGACCCAGCCTAGCATGACTTCACCATAGTCACAAACAAGGATGATGGCCCAGACTAACAAACGGCCATGTAATGAACCCAAATGGATTGTTTCTATGGGGGAGGAAATAAACAAAACAAAGAACAAAGCGGGAGAAGCCCATGTCGCAATCGCAGGATCTTCTGTTTGAGAATGTGGTGAAGTCCCCTGTGAGACCCAGCACTATTAGTCAGCATCCTATCACCTCAGAACCACTTTCCCAAGAAGGCCAAGTGGACTGAAGTGTCAAAAAATGTGCTTTTTCTCAGATGACACACAGAAGTAACTAAGCCAAGACAGCTATTATTTTATCCTCCAGCCTTCACTCATGATCTTGGAGTTTATTTTATAATCATAATTCTCTAGGTTTTTCTTAAATACATCCATTCTCCAGATTGGAATTATATTATTACATACCTTAGTAGTGAAAGATGAGATGGGAAGACAGCTTAATAAGCAATTACATAATATTCCAAAGGCTAAGGGCTTTGGAAAGCAATATAAATTAATACTTGCATATCACTTAGATTTGTGAGCTTTCAAAAAGCATTCTTTAAATTGGAAAAAAAATTGGGGGTTACAAGCCAATACTTGTAATTTCTATATCTATTATTTAACATTAAGTTATATCTGGTGGGAAAAAAGGTTAACTAATTCAACAGTGATACTCACTAAATACTATGTTGAAAATCAATTTCTCAACTTGGTGGGGAGGGGGTTGGGAAAGAAAAACTTGGAAGAAAATGAGGGAAGAGGTGACACTGTTCAAAAAGAAATGTACTTAATACTTAACTTACACAACAGTAACCCCTCTGTACATCATCTTTACAATAAAAAATTAATTTAAAAAAGTATTATCAAAAAAGGACTTGTAATTTAATAGCATTAAGAAGGAACTTGAATTTCTATAAACTTTTCTCCAGTGTATCCATATATCCTAATATAGAAAAAAACTGAGAGAAAAATCTTCCATATATACTTAGAAAAAAAAGAGGAGTACAAATTTCATTCAAAATATCATCTCCATCTTTTCCTCCCCTCCTTTTCCCTCCCATCCCCCACTCCTCTCTTTTCTTTTCCTCTCCCCTCCTTCTTTCTCCCCTCCTCTCCCCTTCTCTGCTCTCCTTCCCTCTCCCCTCTTCCCTCCCCTCCCTACCCCTCCCTTTCTTTCTACTCTCCTCCCCTCATCTAGTCTCCCCTCTCCTCTCCTCTCCTCCTTTCTTCCTCTTCTCCTTCTTCTTCCTCTCCTCCTCCTCCTCCTCCTCCTCCTCCTCCCCCTCCCCCTCCTCCCCCTCCCCCTCCTCCCCCTCCTCCTCCTCCCCCTCCTCCTCCTCCCCCCCCCCCTCCTCCTCCTCCTCCTCCTCCTCCTCCTCTTCTTCTTCCCTGTCTCTGTCTCTCTGCCTTTCTGTTTCTCTCTGTCTCTCTGTCTCTATCTCTGGCTCTGGCTCTCCCTGTCTCTCTGTCTCTGTGCCTATACTGGGGCTTGAACTCAGAGTGTGCCTCTGGCATTCATTGCTACCAATGGCACTCCACCATTTGAGCCATGCCTCTAGGTCTGGCTTTTTGCTGGTTAAGTGGAGATATAAGTCAGATTTGTCTGCCCCAGCTGACTTCAAACTGACACTCTCAGATCTCAGTCTCCTAAGTAGCTGAGATTATAGGCATGTTCCTTATTCCTCTGACACCTGCCTCCTTGTGCTATTTTCATGCAGGCAGATACTCTATTTTGATCACATTCGTCCTCACTCACTCTCTCTGTTAGACCTCCCCCTTAACAGAGCCTGTTTGTCTTTCTTGGCATTTTTTAAAGTATGTATTAATTGTACCAAGGAGTTTCACTGTGGTATTTCAGAGGCGCATATATGATATTTTGATCAGAGTTAACCCCCTCTAATTGCTATTTAAGTTAGAATCTTTTGGGTTATCCAGCCTTTTCTCACTGTTAGGGTGGGGACAGCATCATCCTATAGCAGCCTACATTTTAAGAAGACACTGACTGATTTTTTTTTTATCTTAGATGACTCAGTGAATTGGCCTGCTTTCCGTTCTCCACTCTTTCTCCCCACTAGCAATTGTTTGTGCACTTAAGCTGAATCTTCGGATTCCTTCCCAGCTTCTCACCAGTTTGAATGTTTCCTGCTCAGGCCCCATGTTACTCCTGGCTCTGCAGCTTCCAGGATTGCTCTATCATGCTCCACCTTGCCTGGCTCTGCTCCTCTCATGCCAGTCCACTGGCCAGCCTTCAGACATGTTGCCTTGTGGACACTCGCAGCTCCCACATGAATTTCCATGTGTCTTCTAATGCTCCGGCTGCAGATTTGGCATGGCTCACTTTCTGTTTGTGTGCAGGTCTTTATTCAAATATCATTTCCATAGGGAGAAACCTTCCTGACATTTTAACCTAAAGTAGCTTTATTCTCTCCACTCTCTGCTGTTATTCCTCTGTAATCTTTCTTTGCCTTGCTTTTAACTCCTCCTCCTCCTCTTCTTTTCCTCCTTTTCCTTTTCCTCCTCCTCCTCCTTTTCTTCCTCCTCCTCCTCCTCCTCCTCCTCCATTATTCTTCTGATATAGGATATAACTTAGGCCAACCTCAAACTCACTCTCTATCGCCTAGGTTAACATCAGATTTATGATCTTCCTGCCTCAGCCTTCTTCCTGAGTGCTGGAATTGCAGGCATGAACCACTGTGCCCACTGTTATTTTGCTCTATAGAATGTAAAACTACCCTTATGTTGTATTTATTTATTTGTTTTCCATCTTCCCCATTAGAATGAAAGTGTCTAAAGGCTCTTTTTGTTTTTTTTTTTCTGTATTTCTATCACATGATAAGAACTTAGTAAAATAGTTGAATGAAATCAGAGATGAAGAGCGAAATGGAACCTTTTCTCTGGCGACTTGTATCAGCTTGCACTGCCTCTGTTCTCCCTTTGTTGTTTCTTTTTAATACTTCATTTTTTTCATCACATTCTTGTCCATGTTTTAATCAGATAAATCCTTTGGACTCAGTGTTTGGGCATGCACCAATAACATAGAGGTCAGGGCTGGTCCTGCCCACCCTGATTCTGTCCATCTCCTCCCACAGACCCACACCTAGCATCAGATAATTCTGTGGTGCTAGTCTAATTCTTCATCCCAGCAGTCTTGTGTCAGCCATTTCTGTACTGGTGCCAGGCTCCCCTTCCCCCGCCAGCCCCTGACTCTCCAGGCCTGCATCTCTGACAAGTCTGGGTTCAGCATTCCCCTCACAGAGCCCCCATTTTGGTACTAGAGTTTCCCATTCTCTCTTCCTAGCTTCCTCCTTCTCTTGCTGCTCTTTTGAGCAATTTGTACTCTTTACAGCATTTGGAAAAGATGACAAAGGAGGTAAGAGGAAGAGAGGAGAATGAAACTTGTTTAAAAGCAAAGGGGAAGGAAGGTAAGGCAGAGTGATAGAGGGGTGTTTGATGGGCACACAATGCATGCATGCATGAGAATATCACAGTACTATTCTTTTATACAATTAATATGTGTTAAAAAATAAATAAAAGCCCTTTGGCTATCCAACATAATAATTCAACCAGAGGAACTGAAGTCTGGTAGACAATCCTCTCCAAGGACAGGTAAGACATGGGGACCATCTAGCCTTTGGCGATGAGGAAGAGGTGGGAAAAGTAGAAGGATGCAACTGAGATGCTAACACATCCTTGAAGGCAAATGTGAGTGAGAACAAGAGTTTAGAATCTTCGCAAACCCCCATATAGGGAACCATTGGTACTGATTTTCTAGATCTCCTCCACAGTAACCCCACACCACCACCTCCATGCCCCCCTCCGCCTCCCCCCGCCGCCACACACACACTGGGGGTTCCAAAGAAAGACTGGGAGCAGGGAGAAACCCCAACAGAGCTTGCCTCCGGGGTGCCAGGGTGTGAATGATGGCAGGATGCTGCAGGGAGGCGGGCCGCAAATCTGGCTCTGGGACCCTTCTCCTACATGAAAGCAGGGATGTCTGCCTGGGAGAGTCAGGAAACTGAACCACATGCCAGTCCTAGGGCCAGTCAGCAGCTGTGGGCAGAGGGACAGGAATTGCACTCCTATCCCACACTGTCACCAGGTGGCACATCTGTGGCTGGGGGGCGGGGCCGGCTCAGGAATTGGTCCCCCGAGTCGGCACACCTTGACTACTCCACTGTCCTGGGGTAGACCAAAAAGAGAGCAT